TTTGGGGGCGTGGCTTGTGTGGGTGTGGTCGGTGGGCGTGGCCAGCTGTGGGGGAGGGGCTTAGGGGTGAAATCCCGGGAAAAAATGGGTGGGAAATGGGATTTTGGGAAGTTTTGGAGCCATTTGGGGGCGTGGTTTGGAGGTGGGCGTGGTCTAAAGAGGGGTTTGGGGGCGTGGCTTGTGTGGGTGTGGTCGGTGGGCGTGGCCAGATGTGTGGGAGGGGCTTAGGGGTGAAATCCCGGGAAAAAACAGGGGGAAAATGGGAAATTCCTCCCCAAATTTCACCAAATTCCCCCCCCAAAATCGCCCCAAAATCCCCACAAATCCTCCCAAAATTCCTAAATTCCCCCAAAAGCCCCAAATTTCCACCTGAAATTCCCCAAAATCCTCTTCAAATCCCAGAATTTCCTCCCAAATCTTCCAAAAACCCCAGAATTATTCCAAAAATCTCAGAATTCTCCCCATAATTCCCCCCAAAATCCCCAAATTTCCACCTGAAATCCCCCAAAATCCCCCCAAACCCTCCCGAATCCCCCCAAAATTCCCGAATTCCCCCCGAAATTCCCGAATTCCCCCCGAAATTCCCGGATTCCCCCCGAAATTCCCGGGATTTCAGAACCTGTACGAGAGCATCCGCTCGGAGCCCTTCAAGATCCCCGAGGACGACGGCAACGACCTCACCCACACCTTCTTCAACCCAGACCGCGAGGGCTGGCTCCTGAAGCTGGGTGAGCCCCTCCCCCCTCACCTGGGCCACGCCCACCTCACCTGGGAAAGGCCACGCCCCCAAAATTCCCCCAAATCCCAAAAAAATTCCGGTGGAATTCCTTGAAAATCCCGATTTTTGGGAGTTTTTTGTTGATTTTTGGCGGGTTTTGGGTGCTGGGAGGGGGCGGGGTTTCGTTTTGGCCACGCCCACCGCGCTTAGGCCACGCCCACCTCACCTGGGAGGGGCCACGCCCCCAAATTCCCAAAAAATCCCGGCGGAATTGCACAAAAATCCCGATTTTTGGGAGTTTTTGGGAGCTTTATTGGGCTCGTGGCCACGCCCCCTTCCCGTGGCCACGCCCACCCCAATTGACCACGCCCCCTTCCCGTGGCCACGCCCCCTCCCAGTTCCCCCCAGTCTCTCCCAGTTGGATTTTGTCGAATTTTAACGGAATTCTTTTCTCTTTTTTTCCACTTTCTCTCCCTAAAAATCCCCAAATCCTTCCCCAAATTCCCAAAACTCCCCCAAATTCCCACAAAACCCCCAAAATTTTACCCCAAATCCCCCCAAAATTCACAAAATTCCTCCGGAATTCACGCAAAATTCCCCCCCAAAATTCCCAAATCCTCCCCAAATTCCCCCAATTTTTTCTCCAATCTCCTTTAAATTCCCTCAAAATTCCCGAAATTCACCCCAAATTCCCAAAATTCCCACGAAATTCCCCAAATTCCCACGAAATTCCCAAATTTCCCCCCCACCTTGTGCTGCCATTGGGACCCCCCAGGAGGTGAGTGCTGGAGTGGGGGAGGGGCAGAGCTTGGGACCCCCAAAATTCCCAAAATTCCCCCAAAATTCCTCAAATCCCCCAAAATTCCCCCCAAAATTCCCAAAATCCCCCAAAATTCCTCAAATTTCCTCCAATTTTCCCCCAAATTTTCCCCAAAATCCCCATTTTTTCCCCAAATTCTCCCTAATTCCCCCCTAGATTCCTTCAAAATCC